TCCACTTGATGCGATTGCCTCCAGGGGGGCCGCCCTCGCGCGGTAGGAGCACCTCGTACCGCACGCCGAAGGCGTAGTTGTTGAGGAAGCCCTCCATCCTGCGACACTTGCGCGCCATCGCCGCCATGCCGTCCACTTTGTCGTAGATCTTCCAGCAGAGCGCCCCGTGGAAGAAGAGCAGCGTGCGACGGCCGCCCCACGGGCCTCCCTCGCCGGCGGCGGCGCTGCCTGTGGCGGCGGCGGCGGCGGCGGCGGCGGAGGGCGCGGCGCGGAGGTAGGGGATCAGCGGCGACTTGGCGGGGATGTGCGCCTTGAGCACTCCTGGCACGGCGATGTCGCGCCTACGCTCGGCCCATCTCTACCTCCTCTCGGCGGGTCTCGAGGTGTTGAGCACGCTCGGCACGCGGCGGCTCTGCCGCGCGTCGAAGCAGCGCTCGGTCGGGACTCCGGCGAGGCCTGCTCACGGGCGGAGGCTGTGAAGAGACGCCGTCCACAAGCAGCGGTCGGTCCGGGGTGTGGGGTAGGCCGGTGACGCCGCCCCAGTTGGAGAGGACGATCGAGGAGCGGAGGGGCTCCCATAGTGAGCCCCACGGGGTGGAGCAGCCGGCCGCGTCGCGCGTGACAGTGAAGATGTGGTCGGCGCCTGAGAGCGACAGAGTGACGCCGAGTCAGCCCTCCCTCCGCCGCGTCGCTGCGGCGGTGAAGCAGCCGTCGGCGCCACGAGACGCGTTCCAGTACGGGAAGTGCGTCACGACGTACCGGTGGGCGCGCAGGTAGACCTCGGGGTTGCCCCACGAGCCGTGCAGGTCCCAGGTGGGCACGTAGAAGTAGGCCGCCCGCCTGGGCCAGGGCTGGAGGGGTGGAGGGGTGGAGGGGTGGAGGGGTGGAGGGGTGGAGGGGTGGAGGGGAAGGGAAGGGCTGTGGCCTCGGGTCGGCGGTGCGGTGGCGCGAGCGGAGCAGCGAGATGTGCATCGCCTTGAAGGCGCGGTAGTCCGCAGGCCTGGGGGGGGGGGGGGGGGGGCATCCGGGGTTTTTTTTCGGGGGGGGGCCCTTTCGGAAAAGGAGGGGGGTAAAGGGGGGGGTAAAGGGGGGGGGGTGGGGGGGTCCTGGTCCCCCGTGCAAATAATACGGCCAGCCGGGCTCCCCCTTGGGGGGGAGCCCCTGATCCCGGGGTCCTTTTGACGAGGACCTTTCCCAGAACCCCCCCCCCCCCCCCCGGGGGGAAGGGACAATTTTCTTCGAAGGCGGGGGGGTTTTTAACAAAAACACCCATGGGGGGGGGGGAAACCT